AGTTGTCCAATTGCATGTGGAGAAAGCTTGATGGACAACCGTAGATTCTGCCCCACAACTGAGTTATGACTGCATAAATAGGATGGCTTGGCAGGCTGAGTATTTTTTTTAGACAATTGTTCTTTGCTACATTTTCAGTCATATCAGTTATTGCATGTCCCAGCATTGGAACAGAAAGAGACACCTGCATGAGTGCGGCGTCTCAATGGGGGATGAGGGTGTAAACTTTTTATAATGAGGACGTTAAAAAGCCACACATTTCCCACCGTTTTGAAGAAGAAGAAAATATCATTTGCTCAAAAACATCAGTCCGGTCCCTCTGATGCACTCGCTGTTTACCCGCTCTCTCCCTCCCTCTGATGTTGGTTGAAACCTGCACCTTCGCGCACCACTGTTACGTCAGTATTCTGCTCGGTTCGGTAGCCGGACTTGGTTCCGTGTTTGAAATGTGCTTCCCTAACTGCTCCGCACGGCAGCGGCAAAAGAACATTTAGCACTCCTTACCAACTTACCTAGTAGATTAATGCCACCAGCCAAGGCTGCCCAAAGTGCAGTACATAATAAAATAATAGATCATATACATTAAAATTAGAGACAACAAGAAGACCATACTAAAAAATGTATGTCGTAAGATATAAAAAAAACACTAAAAGCAATTAAATCTAAATGCACATAATGCCTAAAAACAGTAAAAAATAAATTAAAACATTCCAAGAATATTACCAGAAAAAAACAATAAAAACAAAAGAGTACAAAAAAGGTAGAAAATTAACTAGATTTTTAATAATGCTTCAATTTAAATTTAAAACTCCAGACAGTAGATGGCTGTTTAATATCTACTCAAGAATAAAAGATTAAGTTATTACAAAAGCAGTTCAATATAGTTACATTAGTAATTCAAGTTATTCTAAAATGCTTTAGCGTGTGTGTGTGTGTGTGTGCGTGTGTGCGTGCGTGCGTGCGTGCGTGTGTGTGTGTGTGTTATATATATAGGACTGCATGAGACAATGTGTTTTCATCAAATCCATGCATCTTATTTCTCGGCTAATGAAAATAACTTATATTTCATAAATCGTGACATCTCAATGTTGTCTAAGATAATATTTGATCATTTATTGTCCCCATCTTTGGTCTGGGAGGTGTAACATAGCAGGAAACATGCCTTTTAAAACATATTAAAAGTGTGTTACAAGAGGAAATAAATGCACATTTAAAGTTCTTGATTGGACGCCAACCTTCACAGTTTAGAGACTCGCGCTGTGTGGTGAGGAGACACAGTTAGTTCTAGTCACACCTGGGCTCCCAATGCTTATTCTGACAGGATGGACGTTACGGGACCCTTAAGGATTCCAGTTGGATGTTTGGAGGATTATTTAGGAAGACTGGAATGAACAAACTGATTTGAGTGGTGAACGGTTTAATGAGTGAGTGAACCCACTACCGAGGATGAACTCTGCTAACTTTAAAAACTGCCTGCTCTCTGTGAGCTGGCGTTGTGATTTAGCCTTACTGAGATGTAGCCATCATTATGTAACTTTTGCTTTGAGTAGATTTTGTTTATGACACCTTTACTGTTACTTGAGTAAAAATGTAGGCAAATACTTTTACTTGTACTTGAGTTTTTAAAAAATCATCAAATGTTGGTTCTTGTACATTTTAGAACTCTTTCCACCTCAGCTGATATCCAACCCCTCTCAAAGTTTGACATCTTTTCAAATTCCATCAAGTCCCAGATGTTTAAACAACAAGATTAGGTATAATTTGTCAGATTTAAGAAATTTCCTAGCATGATACATTCACTGTCTTGGTGTTGGGGTGAGAGTATTTTAATTTCTAATAGCAAGGACACTTGGCCTGCTTGGGGATCTGCGCCCTTCTGATGATGTCACACTACAATAACGCAACTACACAAACTACATTTCGCCCTAATTTTACCTGGCTATGCACAAAAATCGACTCTCAAAACATTTCATACAGGAATTTCTTCATGTACCGGTATTTATAAAATTAAAACCCCTGGATGTTTATGTTGATTTCTGTATACTTCATTTGCTCTTATGTGGTTGCTATTTGTTCAATAAAGTTATTTAGAGTAGCGCCTCATTTCATAAGAATCCCCATAAAGTATTTTTCCCATGTGAGGAAAAGAGTTTCAGTATAAAAACCGTTTTACGTCTCTGTGGAGTGCTGTCTGGCATTATGTTTGGACCAAATATCATTTACAAAGGTTAGGATGTAGTACTTCGTAAAAGTCGTCCATGTTTCCTATGAAGCAGAACTACCCCCTACCTTGGTTAACCAAGCACAAAAAAGTGTAAACGATTGTTAAAACTCGGTGAGCAAACATTTTGCTTCTAGTATTCAGAAATAAAGACCGTAAAGATGATGCTATGCAGCTGCTGATGTCTTCTGCTGATCAAGGTGTGGCTGTGATCTCAGTCTCACTAGGCAGTGAAGTTGTGTTTTACTCAGACTGCTTCATAATCAAAGTGGATCTGGCTCTGTAATCTTTCCTCATGCCTTTTGTTTCTGTGAGGATCTGAGTACAGTTTAAGGATGAGATGAATGACATCAATTAGCCGCTGATGTAAGTGCTGTGTGATACGCAGTGGTGTGATGCTCGCATTTGCTTTATGTTGCATTGTGTTAATTTACGTAGTTATTGAGCCACTTATCAGTAATGAGACAGCACCAGAAAGTAGCCAACAGGGTGGGAGAAAAAGAAATGAGCACAGGGTTGTTGTAAAGGCTATGAGGAGCTAATTAGAAGCATCAAGTTAGCCTTTAGGAGCATGCCAGGGTGTTCTTTTATGGAGGCTAGAATAAATCTCACACTGGAAATTATTAAAAACATTGAAATTATCAAGTGAATCTACTCATTAACTGTTTTATCTTTGAAGAATTCACAAGTTCAACATCTCACAGTACACATAAGCTCTTATGCAAACAAGAGTCTTTGGATTTATACTTCAGTTGAGCCTGCAATCTTCAGATCACTCTGTTATTATTTTACAATGCTGGGTATTCAAACATCTCCTTACAGAGTCGGTAATGGACTATAAATGTTGTAACTGAGTTAGAATAACCCAATTTTTGGTCCATTTTATGGGGTCCTCAGCCCACTGAAGGATGGTTTTTATGGGACTCTGTCTTGTTTGAACTTGAATGTTGATTAAATATTTATGAGTGAGGTAATGTGAACCATATTTCTCTGTTTATTTGCGGAGCTTTTTGAAACACAGCAACCATCTGGCCAAATGAAATCAACTCCGATGCTTCTTGTTAGTCAGAGGAGTTCTAAGAATTTAGAAGTCCAACACGTCTCAATGGGACGTTTGCAAAGAACATCTTGTCTGAATACAAATTATAATGTGCAGATGTGCATTCTGTGAAGTTATTTTTTGAGGCTCGACTCATTCAGCTTGTTGCTAAATTTTCAAAATCTTTCGAAAATTGCTGAATACCCACTCTTAAGAATTCATGCCTGTTTCTAAAAAAAAATCACACCCAGGTGGAACCAATGATTTTAGACCAGTAGTTTGGAGTAATTGCATTTTGCTTGAAGACACAAATGCAGCGCTGATGCTACCACCATCACTCACCTGATTTTAAAAAACCTTGTAAATATTAACACCTATTCTCAGCTACTTAAAAATTTACTTTATCTTCTAATTCTTTTCAGTCACATTCAAAAACATGGAAATGGTATTAAGTTTTTACCAAAGGAACTCAGTAAATTAAAGTCTCAGTAACGGAGTTCCACAAGGCCATGTCCCTTTCATACAGCTTACTTTTAATTTAATGATGTTTATTTTGCATAACTGTAGTGAAAGCCCGAGCCACACTGTGCATTCATTAGCAGCCCCTAAATAAATTTCTCATTGTGAATAGAATTGTGAAAAATGGAAAACGTGAGGGTGATTTGCAGGTCTATGGCTGTCCAGTGTGACCAGCCCACCAGCAGCTTATTGAACACTCTTGTGACCAAAAATTAGCTTCTGAGGGTCTTGAAGCAGAGTCAGAAAACCCATGACTCTATGAACCAATAAAAATACAACCTGGGAGTGATGCAAAAAAACTATTAACGAGTGTATAATGCTAGAGTAGCATTAGCAACATTAGCGACAAGTACATGTGGACCACGCCCTTTTGGAGTTCAGTTTGAAGTCTAATTTTAAAAATGTAAATGCCAACACTTTGTTCTCTTTTCATTGTTACTGCCTTGTTATCTGTTGGTTTTTAGTGTTATATGCATCTCGGTGAGTATGCTCCTGACATTAGCGTGTTCTGCTAGAGCAAGACATTGTGCAGTTTTGCTCACTAAAATGCAGCGTGCCACCTCTCCAGAGCACAGCGGGACATGAACCAGTCCTATGCGACAGCTGAAAATTGCCCAGTGTGAACCGGGCTTTAGGAGCTCATAACTGACCCAAGGAGATTAGTAGCTACAAAGCAGTGATTATGAAAAATAACAGCCAAATACACAAGTTACTTATGATGTTTGTTGATAGTCCATTTTAAGCATTTATCATTTATGATGTTTCTTATTGTGAACATTTCTACATATATATTTGTCTGTTTAACATATTTGTTTCAATATTTCAATCATCAATATTGTCTTTGAGTGTTTAGAGTTTGATTTTAATTTTGACGTGTAGTTTTGTAACATATTGAGAAGATTTCCATTATTTGTTGTAGATAGTTTCCTGAGCTGCCTAAGTTTAGAGAATAGAGTTTACATCTGATGAGTTAAGTCCAAGCACGGCAATGAGTAAAGTTTGCGGCCTAGCCATTAGCTCATCAATCCTGTGGAACCAAACTCTATTTCTTTGAGCAGAGGTCCTTCAGAAAGCTATCTACAACAAGTAGGATCATAATATTATATTATGGCTTGGGCATTGTGCAGACCAACTCTAGTTTCACCATGGTTGGTATAGAGTTTATTTAATGTTATTTTATGTAATTTTACAACCTTTCCTCCATTTCTGCTGCTCCTTCAGGTTGACTATCCATGCAGAGTGCCCCATGCACCTGGAGGATTTCCCAATGGATGCACATGCCTGTCCCCTGAAGTTTGGAAGTTGTAAGTCAGCCCTGATGGTCTTAGAATAAAGACTAATAGCTGGAATGGCTAAAAGTCAACATGAGGAAAGTGTATCTCTTTGGCATGAGGGAGAGTTATATACAGATGAGGAGGAGCCAAGAAAATTTAAATGCATTGGCACTCAGTGCAGATCTAATCGTTTACTGCAGAAAGGTCAGGATTTAAACACCATTAAAGATAGAATAAACCAATCAATCACTTGCATGTTAGAATTAAGCTAAAGGTGGCCGGGTCAGTACACGCCTGTCATTTATTAAAGTAATATTAACTTTAAATTCTGTTGATGTAAAATCACAGAATAAACAGAAACATCAGATTTTTATGTCTAATGCTTCTACTGCTGTTTTGTTTTAATCCTCACTGTTTTGCCAGATGCTTACACCAATAATGAGGTGATCTACCTTTGGACCCAAGGGGACGAGAAGTCTGTCGCTGTGGCAGAGGATGGCTCCAGGCTCAACCAGTACGACCTCCTGGGACACGTTATTGGCAAGGAAACCATCAGTTCCAGCACAGGTACACCACAGCCCATTCTCAGCCACGACACAAACATCTAAACATCAAATTTAGCAGAATATTGTACACAGTAAAAGAAAAATGACTGTATCAGGAGTGCAACTTCCATTCGTTCTTCACAATCATTGTTGTTATTGGCCTGCAGTTTTAGGACATGTATTACAATTTATCCTGAGAAATCTAAAAGGAATTCATTTGTCAGATGTAACGGCAACACCTTGCAGAAGCCTCGGGTAATGGTGCAAAAACGAAGAGGAAGAAGTGCACACGACTGCAGATAGAAGGTTGTTTGTGTTAATCACTGAGCGACAGCAGAGCTTACAACTGCTAGCTTCCCATTTTGAGAGATTTAACCTCAGCGTTGAAGCTGTTTGCTCATGCAGTTCTCAGGAGGTGAGATGCCGAGTCACAGCCAGACTTCAGCTGTGACTGGCGCGCTCCTTTTTTGTTGCTGTTTTGCAGAGAAAATGTTTCAGTAACCGCACGTTTTCAGCTCTGTAAAGGACGCTTGTCAGAATCATTTTATATAACTGTTGTACTCTGTGGTGGGTGAACCCCAAGGTCAAGTCAGGAGAGACCCTCAGGTAGTTTTGAGGCAATAACAATGGAATTTAAATGTGTTTCCTAAACTGCATCATCCAGTGGATGTCGGAGAATCTCATTTTCCTTGACTGTAATCTTAATGGACTACAGTGAGTAGGAACGGGTGGATTTGAGCATCGTCAGCCGCGGTCAGAATCTTGTCAGACAAAAACACCTCAGAGGACAGGGGCGCGGTGGGTTGTTGTTCCTCATATCTCTGCAACACAGATTGCAAACCTGGGACGGAGAGCCAGCACTTAGGGGAACGGTGAATCTGGCTGCTCGCTGCCACCGGTGACAAATACAAATGGGTGAGAAACATGCAGGCGCATTCCTCACATGTTGCAGAGAGAGACGATGAAATGGAAATGTTTGTGTGTGGAGGGGGGGGTTTCAGAGAAATTTTATTTTGTAGAAATTACTGCGTGGCCTCAAACTCATGCGGGGATGGAGGTGCAGCACTTTGAATTGTTCTGATACAAATGGAGGGGTTTAAATTTGACACAGATGTTTGGTGGTTTCTGTTAAAGTGATGCAAGCTTTTGTCGCATATTTCCTCAGTTCAAGAGTTCAGCCAGTGTGTATTAAGAGTTAAAGTGCACACGCATCAAAATGGTCTGATTTCACCCGCTTTTGCTTATGTCATGATTATTATTTGTGTCTCTTCCTGCAGTTTTGGGATAAAAACAAGCTCAATCTATCGAAACATAAAGTCTAATTGGAATTAATGATGATCTGTTGCTGTACATCGTACATAGTAGATGTACAGTCCAGAAAACTGGAGTTTACACACACACAAGAGGGTTTTCATCAAATTAGTGAGAAACTCAGCCACTGACTCTGTCTCTGTTCAAGGACTTTTTTTCTATTATCTTTTCAGTGTTAGCATGAAAGTCTAGACAAACAGTAGCAGTAGCGAAAGATTTTGCTCTGCAGTTCGGTCTAGCCACACTCCATTGTAGCCCCAGCAGGTTAGGGTTAGGGAAGTTTTTCCCGGGCAAATCACATCACTCTGTCGCCTTTTCACAAGACACACCTTGGTGGCCACTTAAAGTTACTGGTTACTTTGTCAAAAATGTAACTCAGTTACTTATCGAGTTACAGGATTATAAAAGTAACTTATTACCAAGAAAAATGACAATTTTGTTACTTTTTTCATTAAAGAATGCAAGAAAAAGGGGTTTCCCTCTTAGTTAAACTTACTTAATTTACTATAAATTACTACAATACTGAAATATAAATGACTAATGACTGGAACATACTAAAATATATGTCCAAATTTTTTTTATAAAACTGAATAATTGAAATAAATGGGCACTTAACAGGAGGAACTACAAACAGGAACATTACACTAATCTAGGCTATTAAATTGTCACTGTCGTCGTCGTCTTCCTCTGCTTATCCGGGTCCGGGTCGTGGGGGCAGCATCCCAACTAGGGAGCTCCAGACCGTCCTCTCCCCGGCCACCTCCACCAGTTCCTCCGGCAGGACCCCAAGGCGTTCCCGGACCAGATTGGAGATGTTCCCTCACCGGGAACAGGTCCGACTTACTACCGGCTATGCAGACCAAACTCACGCTCCTCTGGTAAAGGGACTGAATGGCCCTTAACAGAAAGCCACCCACCCCACACTCCTGGAGCGTCCCCCACAGGGTGCCCTGGGGACATGGTCATAAGCATTCTCCAAATCCACAAAACACGTGGAATTGTTGGGCAAACTCCCATGCCCCCTCCATCACCCTCGCAAGAGTGTAGAGCTGGTCCACAGTTGCATGGCCAGGACGAAAACCACATTGCTCCTCCTCAATCTGAGATTCAACTATCGATCGGACCCTCCTCTCCAGTACCTTGGAGTAGACCTATCCAGGGAGGCTGAGGAGTGTGATCCCCCTATAGTTGGAACACACCCTCAGGTCACCTTTCTTAAAGATGGGGACCACCACCCTGGTCTGCCAGTCCACAACTGCCCCCGATGACCACGCAATGTTGCAGAGACATGTCAACCACGACAGCCCTACAACATCCATAGCCTTGAGATACCCAGGACGAATCTCATCCGCCCCCGGGGCTCCGCCGCTGTATAGTTGTTTGACTAACTCAGCAACTTCTGCCTCCGAGATTGGACAGTTCATCCCCAGGTCTCCCGGCTCTGGTTCCTCCTCGGAATGTGTGTAGGTGGGATTGAGGAGCTCCTCAAAGTATGTCTTCCACCGTCCGACTATAGCCCCAGTTGACGTCAGCAGCTCTCCATCCCCACTGTAAACAGTGTGAGCAAAATGCTGCCTTCCTCTCCTGAGCTGCCGGATAGTTTGCCAGAACCTCTTTGGAGCAGATCGATAGTCTTTCTCCATGGCCTCACCAAACTCCTCCCACGCCCGAGATTTTGCCTCGGCAACTGCCACTGCTGCACCCCGCTTGGCTATCCGGTACCTGTCTGCTGCCTTCGGAGACCCACAGACCAGCCATGCCCTGTAGGCCTCCTTCTTCAGCCTGACGGCTCCCCGAACCTCTGGTGTCCACCAGCGGGTACGGGGATTGCCACCACGATTGGCACCGGTCACCTTGCGACCACAGCTAGCAATAGCTGCCTCAACAATCGCAGAGTGGAACAAGGCCCACTCGGAGTCAATGTCCCCCACTGCTCTCGGGACGTGGTCAAAGCTCTGCTGGAGGTGGGAGTTGAAGACTGTCTTGAGAGGTTCTTCTGCCAAGCGTTCCCAGCAGACCCTCACTATGCGTTTGGGTCTGCCAGGTCTACGCGGCATCTTCCCCTGCCATCTGATCCAACTCACCACCAGGTGGTGATCAGTTGACAGCTCCACTCCTCTCTTCACTCGGGTGTCCAAAACATATGGCCGCAGGTCAGATGATACGACTACAAAGTCTATCATTGACCTGCAACCTAGGCTGCCCTGGTACCGTTTACCGATGGGCATCCTTATGTTCGAACATGGTGTTCGTTATGGCCAAACTGCGGCTTGCACAGAAGTCCAATAACGAAACACCACTCGAGTTCAGATCAGGCTGGCTGTTCCTCCGAATCACACCCCTCCAGGTCAAGCTGTCATTGCCCACGTGAGCATTGAAGTCCCCCAGCAGGACAATGGAGTCCCTTGATGGAGCACTATCTAGCGCTTGTCCCAGGGACTCCAAAAAGGGTGGGTACTCTGAACTGATATTTGGCCCATAAGCACAAACAACAGTCAGGACCCGTTCCCCGACCCGAAGGCGCAGGGAAGCTACCCTCTCGTCCCCCGGGGTAAACACACAGACAGAGAGTCTTGGGGCTAACAAAAAGCCAACCCCAGCCCTCCGCCTCTCACCCGGAGCAACTCCAGCAAAGGAGAGTGTCCAACCCCGCTCAAGGACTTGGGTTCCAGAGCCAATGCTATGTGTCGAGGTGAGTCCGACTATATCTAGCCAATACCGCTCAACCTCTGCCACAAGCTCCTGCTCCTTCCCCGCCATCGAGGTGGTGTTCCATGTCCCAAAAACCAGTTTCCTTGTCAAGGGATCTGACCGCCAAGGCTCCCGCCTCGGTCTGCCACCCGATCCACACTGCACCAGACCCTTCATGTTCCTCCTGCGGGTGGTGGGTCCACAGATGGATGAGCCCATGTATCCGGTTTGAGCTGGGCCCGGCCGGGCCCCATGGGGGAAAGCCCGGCCACCAGGTGCTCGCTCACAGGCCCCAACCCCAGGCCTGGCTCCAGGGTGGGACCCCAGTAACCCTCCGGGCTGGGTACTCCGACTCTTTGAATTTACCTCCATGAAAGATCTTCTGAACCGTTCTTTGTCTCACCCTTCACCTAAGACCAATTTGCAATGGGAGACCCTACCAGGGGTACAAAATGCCCCAGACAACATAGCTCCTTTGATCATTAGGGCACTCAAACTCCTCCACCACGATAAGGTGACGGTTCAAGGAGGAGTCTATTAATCTAGGCTATTAAAATGTCCCTGTATGATATTTAACAAGACCCCAATCAGCTAAAATTTATAACTGTCCCTGTATGATATTTAACAAGACCCCAATCAGCAAAAATTTATAACTGCAAATAGAAACACCTGTAAAGGTTCCTGAGCCTTTAAATGGTCTCACAGTCTAGTTAAATTACTGAAATAAATGTAATTTTGCACAATATTTTAAGTTTTCCAGCTTTGCATAATTGTGTGCTTTAGTAGCATTTCTGTTGCTGGTAATCTAGTAATGGTTAAATAAATAAATACAAATCCTTTAAATTAACACTAGAGGAGGCATAAATCTGGTGGAGGACTTATATTTACTAACTTGGGTCAGACCCAAGCACAGAAGAGCTGAAGCTGGGTGGTAAAGACACACAGGTAGTTCTAATAACACCTGAGCGGTGAACAGGTGAGCGGACCTTCGGGACCTCCCGCTGTCTCGCCAAGAAGGGCACGACTGCAGATTCACACCTGTAGCTGCGGGTCTGCAGCCGCGTAGACTATTCCTCAAGTCTTCCTTGTTCTTCACGCCGAGATATGCTTGGATGAAAACATTGCTTTAACTCCAGATCAGCTGATGACAGTTTCAACACACCGTGCTGCTGAATTAGTAACGCACACATTTTCTTATCAGTAACGTAAAGATAAAAGAAGACAGTAATTATGGTAATTAGATTACTCGTTACTGAAAAACTTTTTTTGTTTGTTTTTGTTTTAAAATAGCGGCGTTATTCCTACCACTGGTCTTATGAAAGTGCTGTGGCGGCTGAGCGATGCGGGGATATTGCAATATTTGTGCCACCAAGCTTGATAGCAAAAGGGAGTCTATTTATCCTTTGTAAACAAAATCAGCTGAGATGGAGTGATGCAGATACACAGGAGCTTCTGGCCAAGCGCAGATTACCAAACAGTTGATGGGGACGGAGAAGGAAAGCAACCTTTTGGAGCCACTCACAAAACTTGAGCAGCTAAAAAGCCATAGCCCCAAAATACTTCCATTACATCATCTTTTGTGGAAAAAATACATGATTGTGCCTTTTTCTTTTTCTTCTTCTTTTTCTTCTTCTTCCTTTTTTCTCTTTCTTCTACTTCTTTTTCTTCTTTTTTCTTTTCTTCTTTTTCAAATTTTTCTTCTTTTCTTCTTTTTCTAATTTTTTCTTCTTTTCTTCTTTTTCTTCATTTTCTTTTTCTTCATCTTCTTCTTCTTTGCTGTATGGTGGACAGCCTCGTTGACTGATTTCCATAGCGATGAATACGCCACACTATTAGAAATATTCTTTCAAATTCTACCTCTAATTTAATCTTAAAATTATAGATAATTAGAAGAGTGCACACATCTGCCGAGTCAGAAAGCAGCACTTTAAACTAGAATGTCAGATGTTTTCATATAATCCAAATGGTGAATTTGTTCCTCCTAGCTGAGCGCGGCTGTATTAATAATCCAAACTCTCTTTGTCTCTCTTTCTCTTTCTGTGTTTCTGTCTTCTTCCCCTCAGGAGAATATGTAGTGATGACAACATATTTCCATTTGAAACGGAAAATTGGCTATTTTGTGATTCAAACCTACCTTCCGTGCATCATGACTGTCATACTGTCTCAGGTCTCCTTCTGGCTTAACAGGGAATCGGTTCCTGCGCGCACTGTTTTTGGTGAGTTCCCAATAAATGATTCATTAATCATCCTGAGAGAGAGCTTTTCAATTGCAAGGGAAAAAAAGAAGGGATTACATTCAAAATTTACACGGTCAATAGCATGTAGAGGGAAAAAAACACTAATTTCATCTGGTCTGTTTTGAAGTTCTCCAGTTTACTATTTGAATTTAAAAAGTATTTAAATTTATTTTAAAAAGGGACAAACAGGTGGTGATTACAGAGTTAGGACAGGTTTGCTGATTAGTGAAACCTACAACAAAACACCACAAAAAAACTAGTTTCAGATCATTCTCTTAGTTTAGATAATTTAATTAGATAATTTACTCATTCTTCACAGATTAATTACCCACATTCTATTAGAAAATGTGCTGCTTGTGCTGAGAGGCACTGAATTAAAAAACGACCTGATCTATTTCAGGATTTTTCATTTTTACACATAAATCAGGTGCTTTTTAATGAAGAAGTCACTTGCTAATTGTTTTAGTCGCAACACCAATTACATTTGAGATGACTTGTGCTCATCACAGAATAATTTATGATCTATGTTTACTTGTAGGATTTGATTAATTTTTTTCAAAACTGATTAACAATGTTCAGATTAATACCTGCATTTAGGAACATTTGCATCACTGTAAACAATATTGTCCCTTTGCTTGAAAATAATTCATCTGTATGCTAATGAAGGCTAGTTTGAATAAAGCCAAGTGTGCTGAATTGTTGTTTGGAATGCAGTCGGGCGACTCTAAAACTTTAAAATGAATCAATTTCAGTCTAAAAACTGATTTTGCATCAATCTTTTTGTCAGTTTTTATTTCCTCTGAAATGACTTCAGTGCAATTTTCCCATTTAGCAACTTCTGTGCATCAGTTTTTATGAGATAAGATAGACTGGAACAGAGAGGAGATTGTTTTTATGTGGTTGGATGGGTGACCATTGTCCGAACCCAATCTCATTCCCAACAGCGCTGACTCAAAAAAGGGCAGGGATGTGAAATGATCTGTGAAATTTTCAGTTTATACCCAAGTGGATTCATTTCCAGATTAATTCATTTTAGTTGACAGAGATCAGTCGTGCATTTTTCATAGTCTCTAAACTTTCCACTGAAGATAGGGCGATCCTGCAAACAAGGCTGCTTGTGCTGGATGTGCACGGCATCTGTGATTCAGCGGATAAAGGTAGAAAACTTATCAAGGAGATACTAATTGTTCTTTGAGGCTTTATGTATTATTTAGACATGTATCCAGTAATCAGTTTATTAATTCAACAGCTTGCATATCAGGCTTGTGTAAAAAAAAAAAGCTAGAACATTCCACGGTGCAGCTTTTGTCATGTTTTAACGCATCGAGAAGCAGTTCTTGGTGGTTTGAACCCGAAAGGCTGACCCAGTGCACTTGTAATTTTCATGCATCAGTGAATTGTGTCAGCAGTATGAAACTCAACATTCTGATCTTATACAGTACATTATGTAAAGCTCTGCAGTAAAAGTGAACTGGAACATTCTTTTTTATTTCATGTCAAATTTTTTACTTGAGTCTGAATCCATTCTAAAGCCATTAATGGTGTACTTTAAGATGCACACACACACACACATCATTGATTAAAAACTATTTTAATAGTGTATCTATTTGTGGATTTCTTGCAAAGGAACAAAAAGTGACACGACTGAGTCAAAAACAAATTTCATTGAGGAGACAATAAATAATATTGTGGTTTTATCTCTGTAGGATCAAACAAAGGCAGCCCGACTTTTTCTTGAAACTTGCAGATGTTTCATCTAAGAAGTGTATTGATTTTAAATGGAAAAGGGCAGAATACCAATACTTAAAATTTCACACAGTTCTCTGATAGTGCTAGATCTCTCCCTCGCGCCATCCTCCTGAGTTTTTTAGGAGGGTCTTTTTTGTCCTGGTATACACATTTAAGATATTTTGTTCAGTCCTGGATTGCTCTGAAACTGTCAAATTTGCATTTGCAGTCCTGGAAAGTGGAAGCATCAGACCTCCTTTTGTTGTTTTTTCTTTTTGTCAAACTGTCTGTCTTCTCACCATGCTGCTTTCAAAAGAGTGTCCCCGTTCCTACGATGTTATTGGACAAAATCATCTTGATTTGAAGAGTTGACTCCCTGTTTTGTACCATACATTTGTGTAATTGTTTGATTTCCCTGATATGAGCGCTATTTGGTTTCTCCTTACACTCTAAGAAATTAAGTATTTAATTTATTTAACCAAGTTATGTCAACGGGTTCCACTAAAGCTAGTTGATAAAGTGTAAAGAGTATTTTACGTTGCTTTAACTTAATGTTTTAACACTAAAGAGTTTTTAACACTAAAGAGTTTTTAACACTTTAAGCTATTGCTTTCAAACTGGTTTTAGTGGTTCTTGAGTCAGAAACTTGAGCACCTTCACATTGGACAGCACTCTGGAGCCCTCTTCTGGCCAGAAACGGCATTAAACATCTTTAATGGTGCATGTAGGTCAGTGGTCCGCAAATGGCGGACCGCGGGCCACGTCCAGCCTGCGAGCCCTCTCTTTGTGGCCCCCAAACCCCGCGCGCACCCCCACCCCGGACGGCCGACCGGGAGGTTTAGGATAGAGCTGAGGAAAATAATCAAATAATCAATGCATGAGATGCGGGCATAAACGGTTTTGCATCATAGAAGAGTACCATAATTACAGTGGAATGTAGCTGTGTTATTTGAATGGCGGCAGCCGTGCAGCATCCAAATCTGTCAGCTCTCCACATTTACCGGGTAGGAAACTTTGATCTGCCTTTATGTGGTACTGCAGGGCTGAGCGCTGGACTTATAACTTGAGACCAAATCTGAATCGAATCAGCCCGACCGGTTCTGTTGGATTTGGGCCGTAAATTATGTTAATTGAGCGGGTTGTCGCGCGGCGCGCTCCGCTCGCTCGCTCGATCAGCAACTGAGACAGAGAGAGAGGGAGATTGTCTGCTCACACAAGAGAGAGGATCGGAGGACACTCCTCCAAACACGCATTATTATTTTCATAATTTCATTATTGTTTCTCCTGGAAGCGCTCAGTCAGACCGAGTGCTGTGATGTCGGGAGGTCCGGTCTTGGGGAGGGAGCGGGTTCAGTGACGGCAGCTGCAGCGTAATCATCTGTCTCTTATATTTAGGGACACGGAGAAGTTAAAAGTAGAGAGAAATAGAAGATAAAAGTTTCTGTTCCACTTTATTCTTTTGTTTCATGATGATATACTGATGTTAAATTCAGCTTAAAGAGAAACTGGGAGGAAGCTTTGGTTAATTTTAAGTTACAGGAGATTTTGTCTCCTATCTGCTCCTCCAGAGACAGCATGGACATGAGGGTTACATGTGAGGGTCCCACAGGACAGGTTAGTGCAGTCACACAGCCGAGCTGGAGGGGGACAGGTGTTGTCCTTCTTTATATTGCAAGCTTGTGTGTTATGTGCATTACAGCCAGCGATCCAAACAGCAGCAGCACCCCATCTCCCCCCCGGCCCTCTTGCTTCTTGGTCTTTTTTGTATGTGGCCCTCGGACCATTATAATTGTGGACCCCTGACGTAGGTACTAGTGGGTGGTCTCTACCTGCTTTTGCAGCAACAGCTGTGCTGGTAGCTCATATAAGGCCAGCCAACCGTCGATAAAAAGCACAAGACGTTTGTTTTTTTGTTGGCATAATGGCAGAGCCTGGAAGTAAAAGGAGGAGAGTAATGTTTTTGGACATGAAGCTAAAACTAGAGTTAACACTATGTCCTACACTCGTTGTTTGCAGTTTCAAACAGTATAAAAGAAAACTAAGAAAAGTCGTAGTTTTTTCATTTTTTTTTAATAATAACCAAACATTTTTTTTAAACATGCTAAATATACATCTTGTCTGACGACATTGTTATCTGCAAACTCTCCAGCAGGGGTGTTTAAACAATTGTAATTCCATTTCAACCAGCAGGGGGACACGCGGGAAACTTGTTAAGTGTAAGTAAATTAATATTACTCTTTATGTTTAGTGGAACCAGTTGAAGTAACTTGGTTAAGTAAACTCAACGCTTCATTTCTTAGAGTGTAGAAACTCTCCCCTGGTGAACTTTGAACCCCCACACCCTCAGGCTTATGAACCAAACAACTCACACCTGGGCCAGGATAACAAAGACCCCAACAACCTTCAGGAGGGGCGAAGCTTTGACGAGATTTAAACGCTCAGAAATTTACAGTTTGTTTTTAAAATGACCCTAGCTTTTCAGACGTATGTGATTGATTTTCCTTTGGCAGCTTCCCTCCAGAAAATAAATCTTAATCTTTTTTTTATTCTGTCCTCAGGGGTCACCACTGTCCTAACCATGACCACCCTGAGCATCAGTGCTAGAAACTCCCTGCCTAAGGTGGCCTATGCCACTGCTATGGACTGGTTCATGGCCGTGTGCTATGCCTTTGTCTTCTCTGCCCTGATTGAGTTTGCTACCGTCAACTACTTCACCAAACGCAGCTGGGCATGGGATGGGAAAAGAGAGGGCATGGAAATAAGGGTGAGTGATTCATCACTACGTACCACCACGAGTCACCACTTTTCTGCCTGTTACAATTTACGTTAATCCAATATCGTCGTTAAAAAGGCTGAAAATCGTCCAAACTAAGCCGACATTTGACACAGCCGCAGCGGCGGGGTGAGAATGCACTTTGTAAACTCATAGAAAGTTTCTTTTTTAACACAGCCTGGAGTACTCTGTAAGCACTTTAAAGAGACCTTTTATTTATTCATTACCAGCCAAATGGAACAGGAACACTGGGGCGGAACAGTGAGAGTAAAAACAGAAGTAAACTCCCAGAGACATTGGCCCTGATTTACGATCGCGGGAGCATATGTTCAGCTCTCACTCCCGCCAGAAAAGATCCTTACATCTGCACACTGATTAAAACAGGGACTCCCATTAAACAAATCACCTGAGGCTGACCTTTTTTTTTATCTTTAAGCCTGAATGCAGATAAATCCAGACTTATAGATATGCTATTTGTCAATAATGTGGAAAGTTTCAATGAGAGGTGAATAGGAATGGATTCAAGCTGGGAAATGAACGGTTTAGCTAATCGCTCTTTATGCTTGACCCATTTACGGTTCTGGTTTTAGAACATACAGCCAAGCATGGATGCAAACAACTCAATATGTGCACATAAATAAGGCTCCTGCACTCAATTTGATTGGATCCTTTTACATTTAGAAAGTCGATGCTTAATTATTAGTTTGACAGATTTCTTTAGTTGCCATAAAGGGTGGATTTATGTCACCAATCTGATCGGTGTTATGAGATCAGCGTGTAAACAAAATGTTTCCCTTCGTCAGAAGCAAGATTTACACTTTTAGTTAAAAATAAATTGTTTCTGTGAATTTTATCTCTCTCTTTTTTTTTTAGATCAGTCACTTTGAAAGTTGTCAAAGAAGACTTCAGAGTAAAGAGCTGGTTTTATTGAAGTGGAGCATGTTGAGTTCAAAGTGCTGACAGAGAGAGAACTGGCAGACGCGAACATGTTTTTCAAGTGTTTTCAAGTCTTTTTTTCACAGAATTTTTACTTTTCACATCAAGTCTCACAGAGCTCTAACAATAATGGACCGTAGGTCTCAGGTTGTTGTTTGAACGTTGGAAATCTTCATGTAATAAAGGCTTCCTGTGGGTTTCTGCCTGCCTAATTTTGCAGCGCTGCCTCGATTTCCTCAGAACTTTCATTCACGCCCACATGAAGCCATCCTAAGACTGTCCAGAGGTCACTGGTTTTGTAGCATAACTCAGACAAAGTGTCCCATTTAGATCTTAAAATAGCAATGAAAAAGGGAACCTTTCAGAAAGGCCTCTGGATAATTGACACATTGTTATTGCATCACTGTAACTGGTTCTGAGTCATTTTAAATGTCCACATTATACAAAGTCAAGGAGACGGTTACAACTACTAAACCAGGGTTACAACTCCTGTAGATTTATATTTATAACGGCGTTCTTAATGTGAGTCTATGAATATAAATTAGAGTAAGTGGACCACAAAGACCACATTTTTTTAAACAGAACTTTACGAAGATGTCACTTTGAGTTTTTGTAGGTTAAACTTGATGAACGCGTAGGAGAAGATTTCTGTGGCACTCGTGTCACTGTGGGTTCTAATGGGTTACATAAAGATAGGTTGTCCTTCTGAATGAATGTCATTTTCTCCATCATTATCTACCCAGTGAGAAGATTGCTCCAGTTACATGCATGCAGAGATATTTCCAGTGAAGAAGATATTTAGAATGACAACAAGCGGGTTTATGGGAGAGAGAATAAAAGACTTACACTATAAGAAATGACATTGTTGCAGGGCAATGCTACAAATCCTAATATTTTTGCTGCATGTGTAATTTTTTTTATTTAAATGGCTTGACATTTGCTCTTCAGACTGACAGGCTAAACGTGCTGCAATAGAACTTTTTATTTGGCAGGGGTGATTTTTTTCCCCCCCTTTTTTTTTAGATGGCTCATCTTGATGGCAGCAGCCTGGGCTGTGTTCTCAGGGGCTGTGCTGAGCATGCAGTTGTCATGATAGATTAAAAAAAAGGAAAAGGGGTCAGACTGACAGACGAGCTACTCCCATCACACTCCCTGCTAGAATGAGCAAATGCAAAGCAATCAGACTTTAAATCAGATTTTCTTAACATTTGGAGCAAAGAAAAGGAGAAAATGATGCTTTTAAGGAGAGAATTTATAGCTCAGTTTATCTCTCCCTGGCTTTCTTTTTTCTTTTTTTCTTTTAAACGTCGTCATTTTCCTCCTTTCTTGTCGCCTAACATCCTGTTTGGTATGTTGTTCACCTAATTAGCTCCCCCCTTGCAGCTGAAGGTTTTATTATTGCAGGAATTAGCAAGTAAGAGAGTTTTGGATAGAAATTGCATTCTTGGCACATGACTGAACCTTTCCTGCATTATGGGCTTTTTGCATCTGCATTTGCAGGACAACCTGCTGATTTTCCTTGAAGGTTTCGCATGTAGGCACACCTGCAACGGCTACATCTGCAGACATTTTCACACAGACATTTCCTGAAAAGCAAAACCTGCCATCATCTGTCCAAGCAGATGGAAGAAGCTTTTATTTTGAAAGGCATGGTGAAATCCAGTGCAGAAACGTTTACAATATTTATTTTGAAAGTCTTCCCATATTTGTTGCTGAGAGAGCAGTTGGTTTCGTAATGTTGCGAGCTGAAACGTTTGCATGTGACTAAAAGATCGCAGGAACATTTATCTGCCTACAGAAGTAGAACAAGCACCAGCACTCACATTTTAAACAGAAAGTTAGAAAGACAAGGTCATGACATACATTGTATTTTTTATTTATTTTTTGTTAAGCTAGCTGAATTACTTTGAACAGTGCTCAAGAATCCTTCAGCAGAAGGAAATTATGTAGAGTCACACATTAGGTCCGTAACAAAGTGCGTACAGCCCAATGCCACAGACGGTTTCCTCGATAATTAGACTATATAAATGACTGCAGATGACAACGCAGCTAAAAAGCAACAGAAAATGACCTCTTATAGCTCATTTATCAAATTACTGCACAAAAAATCTCATCTTTAATGCCAAAGAACGAAGGGCCTAGACGTCTCTGATTAAGGTCGAATTGCACGTTACCGTAGTAATTCGTCCTTTCTGCTGATGTAAGCTGCCTCTGTGATTGAGGATCCTTGTGGTGTGTGAGAAGGAATGGCATCCTGTTATCTGGGAGCATCGGCGCACACCCTCAGCTGTCTGCAGGCTTTGTTGGACCTGAACGAGACTTGCAGTCGAAGCAGAATGAGGGTCATTGTTACCCTGTTGTCTTGCTTACCTAAAGAGAAAACACTTATCGCAGCAAACGCCTCTCCTGTTGGACCAACTTTTTGCCTTCACCTTGGTCAAAGAAGTTTGAAGGTTAACCATTTTTATAACCACTAATGATATTCTAATTCTGTTCCTTTCTGACATTAAAGGTACTTAGAAGTGAAGTTCTGTGAAAACTATAAAGAGCAAATTTCATAGCTTTTGAAAAGGTTCAGTTTGGGTCTGAAATGACTGACAAGCTAACAGCAAGTGAAAACTGGACCAAGATCAAAAGGGTATTCCTGCCACCTTAAACCAACAATCGCATAGTTTTGCAGTAGTTCATGCAAACACATCTGCATAGAACTTTGTGGTTATTTGAACATTCTAATAGAGAGACCTAGCTGTAGCATAACCAAGGTATTTCCAACAGGAGCATCATAATGTTTCAGCCAAAATAACTGTGTAAAGAATATTAGAGGGACAGTAAATCTTCGAAGCTGAAGTTTTAAAGAAAGGAGTTAGGCCTGGAATGTACTTGCTTTTTATCCTCGCATTGATGCAAGGCCCTGGCACAAATTTTTTATGCTGTGCTGCAGGAAGCACTGGAGTGTTCCACTAGGGGGCACAGTAGAGTGCTTAGACCAGATAGAGTCCTGGGTTTGTGGGTATTGGGAGCCTAGTCTCCTCCATTTACGGTCGGCTCAAGGGTCCATGGAAGAACGAATAAATGAATGCAAGTCAACGGGGCTAAAAGAGCTATTTTCTTATCCGCTTTGCCTTACGCCCTGGATCACACATATGTTGTACTGCAATTTAAATGAAAAGTAATGATGGGTGTTTTGACCATGCCAGTCACTCACTTTGAGATTTATCAGCTTGTAAAAGTTCTTAATTAGCATGACTACATCAGCACATCGCATATGTGACATCACCACAGAATCTCCTCTCCCCTAGCGAAGCTGCTACTTACCAAATGGCCAGATTTGTGGTGGTTCTTTCCTCCTGTGGGAAGGATTTGAAGTTTGTTGAACTTACAGCCATTTCCCTTCTGTTTCCTCCATGTCTGGTTCAATTACATCACTTTCGTGAAGCGCATTTGTAGTCCTGGCCTTATTTGCACACAAAACCTAAAATAATGTTTCCCCCCATTCGAAAATAAACGTGTTTCTGGTATCAAAATGCTTCTTTAAAATTCACAGACATCATAGGTGAAGTTCATGGAACATAACAAGCGAATTTAGAAAATAGCTTTTTAGCCCTGTTGACTTGCATTCATTTTCTTCATTCTTCTGGGGACCCGTGGTCTGGAAGTAGACGGGCGTGACTTAGGCTCCCTATAATCAAAACAAACGTGTCGTCAATAGAAGAGATCAGCAACTGGTTAAATTTTAGATCACGGCCGAAATAAGGGCATCTGTGGTATCGTAGATAAATAAAAGACCTCTGAACCAGAGACGGAGTGACCATGGTGGGCGTGTCTCCCTCATATTGTCAATTCCACATAATGGTTACTCGTATATTTCAGTGACACGTTAATTTCTGGGGGATTTGCACAACGACGCTTTGCGAGGCAGCCATTCCAAACACACGTATGTGTTTGCAACTAGAAGACTATTCCAGGCCTTATTGTAAAATGGCTAAATTACTTTTGGATGTGGGTCTTTTCAGACATTCCTGATAGGCTTAAAATCGCTAGTTAGCATAAATTCTAGGTAGCCGTTTACACCATCATCAATATTTATCATGAAAAAAAAGCATGGTACAGTAAAAGGAAATTTCTGCTACTAACACATTTAGCTGTGTTGTTCGTTTTCCAGAGGCACAATCTTCAGTCAAGGGGAATCCTCTAGCTTTCCAATGATAACAGATTTATTGTCAAGAGACATTGTTAAAACAATTAAATAATTGACCAAAATCTTTTTTTTGTTTCTACGGTGAGTTTATTATAACATTCCTATTTGAAAGACTATTGCTTATTACGTTTAGCTATTTTCACTGTTGTTCCTTGCAAATAACCACAATCACACATAAGGTCTATGAAAAAGGGTTATCATGAACTTTTATGAAAGTTTGGTTTTTGGAGGTTTGTTACGACAAGAATCCTCTTTGGTCTTGGCCGTGTTCATGTTAGCCGTTAGCTTGTCTGGTGGAAACTCAGTTTCTCCTACGAGGTGGTTCAGAGAGCAGCAGGTAAGAAGTTGCTCCACAGTTTCATACGAAACTCTACTTCAAAGTACTTTTTGAACATTTTTATGTTTATGTTTATTTATTTGGCAGACGCTTTTATCCAAAGCGACGTACAATTTTTAACTTGTAGGGCATGTTGTGATCTGTAGGGGAAACTGGAGTACCCGGAGGAAACCCACGCATGCATGGGGAGAACATGCAACTCCACGCAGAAAGGCCACAGCCGAGTTTCGAACCTGCAACCTTCTTGCTGCGAGGCAACAGTGCTAACCACTGCGCCACCATGCAGCCCTTTTTGTGTGAAATGGCACGAAGACCAAAAAAAAAAGATTTTTTTGTAAAACAGGTTGGAGGAGGAGAGGTTCTCCTGATTTAAAGATGGTGAAGGAAATTCAATAAATCTGAACTAATGGGACTCAGTTAGCTGCTATCCATCTTTCTGCTGCGGATCTGAGCATGGCTACTTTGGAGTAACCGCAGCCCACGCAGTCACACTGCGTGCCACACAGGAAACTTAAAAGTCTGATCAGTAATCCATCTTAGTGCCCTACTTGTCCCTCCACATCCACCGTGCACGTCGCACCGAGCTTCGTATGGCTGACAAGATCCTCCAGAGATGCATGTTTAGTTATGAGAGAGCACCGAAGTAGCAAATAAAAATGTGTCTTCCTGTGCGATTTCAAAGTGAAAGACAACCTAATCGTGGGTGTGCAGTAGCGGGGAGACAGCAGACTCTCCGGCTTGCTTTATCAAACACACACACAGCCTTTGTCGTGTTTGCTTTATCACAAGCTGTTTGCCTGAAGAGGCCTGGCTCCCATCATTGATACAGTTTGTCAGACATGTTTTCAGGCACTTTTCCTTTGCTTTGTTTTCTAATCCTGCTCTGTGCTGTTACTGCTACTGTTAGCAGTACCAGACGCCAGTCCAGCCTGATTCTGCAAAACACAACTGCTGCCCCCCCCCGACCCACTTTTTCTAATAACCCAAGACTATTTCTGTCATGAAGTTTTTCCTCATGACTTTCTTTTCTTCCTGTAATCCAGATTTGTCTAATGTAGTGTTGACACTAATACACTGTAAAACTGTTCAAAACCCATTCCAATTAGATAGTGATGAATAGAGTCTGTAAGTTGGGTAATCTTACGATAATTGGTAAACTTTTTTTCTTTTCTACTTTTCTTTTCAGGAACCGTTTCAGGCTAACATGGCCAGGATTAAAGATATGGTTAGGCTTTTGTTTTGTTCTTGTGTGTGTCGTGTCTCGTGGTGTTGCTTCTATTTCCTCTTCATGAGTTCAAATGGAAGTATGGTTGTAGTCTGGTCCTTCGACCATTGACGACCTCAACTGCCTTCTTCCTTTTCAGAGAAGAGAGTCTGCCACTTTGACCAAAAAGTCAAACAACACCTTCAACATCGTCGGGACCACCTACGGCATCAACGTGGCCAAGGACCAGGGTCTGACAACCATCTCCAAGAGCGCCCCCGGGACATCGGCAAAACACTCTTTCCTGCATAGGTTCGACGACCCCTACACAGAGGCCAAGAAATCCTACAACCGCGTCAGCAAAGTGGACAAGATTTCACGCATCATTTTCCCAGTTCTGTTCTTCATTTTCAACTTGGGCTACTGGGCTACGTACGTCAACAGAAAGCCCGCCATCATGAAGGCAAACAACCTAAACTGAAGAAACGCTAGGCTCGATCTGGTTTGATTTGGGGGTAGGCAGGTTTGCAGGAGGCCAAGTTCATTACATGAGTGTGTATGTCTGTGTGTGCGCATGTTTTGTGCTTTTTTTTTTTCCTTTATATTTTGTACGGCAGCATAGATTTGAAGCCAAACTTAGGCGTTCGAGCCACACGTAGCGGTGGGCCTAGGACGAGGCCCTCTCTCTCATCAGCCTGTGTTCGCATGGCGTTTCTTTGCTCCACTCCACCCAGCTCTATCACGTGTAACCAAATGTTTCCTTTCTTCTTCTTTTGCCGTATTTTGATTGCTTGCCGTTTCATGGACAAGTCAGATTTGTGCATTTTCCTCCCCCCCCCCCCCCCCCCCCCCCCCCCCCCATTTTGACATGATTGCTTGTTCTCATAGATTTGAACAATCATACATTTTTAGTGTTTTTCCTCCTACCTTATTAGAAGGTGCTGACACGTCCTTTGAGTTGACAAGACATTCGCACACACACACACATACACACACACATTGTTGCCACAGAAGATGAAAGCAGAGCCATTCGATGGTCGCGTTACTGAGCTCCGTTAGTTGTTGCCGGCCTGTATAGTTTTCTAGGACCGTCATTAATAATTGTCAGAGTCTGGCCTTCAGCTCCTGCTGAATCTCAACAGCCACAGTGCAGTCTCACGGGGCCGCCTGTACACTTTCTAGCCCATTGGTTCCTATTGTTTTAACTGGCTGATTATGTTCAATGACAGATAATATATGTGCCTTGGAAAATACACTCATCTCAAAGAAGAAACGAGAGGCATGGACATGCTCACACTTGTTTTCTACAACACAAATATGCACAAAGATCAGTGTTTGTACCACATGTTGACCATCCTCCATCGGCTCTTTCTGGCTCCGCCCACCCCTGACCATTGACGAAGTCACCAGTGTAAAACTGCCTATTAGCGTGCAAGGTTACCAAGAGATTATATGTAGTTCCGAACAATCATCTTGCGTGTTTGTTTTAATTCATGGCACATCGTCTCAGAGAGCTAAGTCATAAACTACCACCATTACCTCAGAGTGAAGTCAAACTCAATCCTAGTTTAGAGCGTGCGTATTCCGTTAGACATTTAAATCAATAAATTAGAGATTTTATGCCCTTGTTTTCTTTGTACGGAAGTCTAGAAAGGACCTGCTGAGAAATTTACTGTTGTTATTGCAACATTACAAAGCTTGTTTTCTCAATTTAACAATTTTTTCTCAACTTAACCTCAAGTGTTAAATTAGGGTTTTGATGAAGTATTGAATCGACACTGAAGAACACTGCATAGAACTGCCTTCACATTTGTTTATTCAAAGAAAGTAACATTAATTCTGTTTTCATTGCTGGGAACAGACTTTATGATTAAAGAGCAAGTAAAGGGGAAAAATAAAAATGTAACAGTTATTTCAAGCCCTTTTAAAGATTCAGGTTGACAGATATTTACAGACGTTATACTTGGCTCTTTTTATTTAAACTGTTTTTACATTATTGTTGCACAGATAAATATTTTTGGGAAAAAAACTACAAAATAATTTTAGCGACTTTGATTTTCTAAATATTTTTGAGTCTTTTAAGTAATTGTAACTCAACTTTTAAGATGGAATATTCGAACAGCATGCATGTAGATAAATTGTCTCCCTGTACTTTGATCCTTTATAGAGGCCTTTATACTTTAACAACTACACGTTTTAAAGCCAGCATGGTTTGGCTCTAAAAAAAAGGGCAAAAAATAATGCAAGTATAAGATCGAAAGGCTGAAAACATCCATCATTAATCTTTTCATCGATGGTGAGACTGAATGATGAAACTGGATGTAACATTCGTTTCTGCACCATATACCAAGAACATTTTGTTACACTGAGAAAACAAGTGTTGGTTTTGTGATAAGATGACTTGAGTATGGTCTAATCCAAATGACTATTGATCAATCTTGACTTTAAAAGCCGTGTTGTTTTTTGACTTATCAGCTTAAGTTATGGTCTTTTTTTCTACCATTGCTGTGTGTGTGTGTGTGTGTGTGTGTGTGTGTGTGTGTGTGTGTGTGTGTGTGTGTGTGTGTGTGTGTGTGTGTGTGTGTGTGTGTGTGTGTGTGTGTGTGTGTGTGTGTGTGTGTGTGTGTGTGTGTGTGTGTGGTATATTGGTGTTAATTTGAATGTCTACATGGTTTTGTATTTCGTAGTAGACACTAGTGTGAAATGGCTTCATTTTAATGATCATGCTGAATATTTTTGTCAACATACCAGATTCTTCTCCACAGCAGCAGGTATTTGGGTTTTTTCTTTTATGAGACATTTTGTGAAAAAATGTATGTATCTGTTGCATTTTTGATATGTTTCCATGGTTTTATAGCAAATAAAACTGTTTAGATTGTTTGATTTTCTCTATGTTGGATGCTGTGAACCTTTTTAAGTCCAGATTGGTTGTTGTTTGGAACTTTCTGAAGGTTTTCAGGCGTATCACGTACAGCGCACCAGTTATTGTTTAATCATCATCATTTGTACATAATTGCACTTTGCAAACTCCAGCAGTGTTTTTTCACACCTAAATAGGGCTTGGTATCACGTGTTTTCTAGTCCATCCTGTTCACTCTCACATGCACACTACCAGCTGCATAGACTCAAGCTCCAGTTAATCTTGCATACTGATGGGGTGGTTGTACTTTGCAGCTGGAACAGCGATCTGAAAGTGTTTTACCTCATTTGGAGGCTGTTGGTTTAATTCGTTGTGCAAATGCAAGTCATTTGAATGTTTTATGGAGCATCAATTGTAACATAAGATATTGAAATAAAACAGTTTATTTATTTTTAGATAATAATGATTCAAAAAAAGTAACAACATTAATTAATTTACATACTATGTATATATTTTATTTTAAATTGCCACATTGATATTTAGATATTTTTAAATCTTAATGTATTTTGATTTGATTCTAAAATGTATTTTTAACTTTATTATTTGGGTTTTTAAACAATTTGACATTACATCATAATTTCCTGAAACAAAATACTAAAAAGCTATTTTTTGACACTCTAAATATGTCAAAAATAGCTGTAATTTTTATTTTATGCCTTACTTTAATATCAGCGCCCCATTTAAGAATGATTATAAAACATTTAAATCAACTAGTAACTTCAGGTTGAATTTATTAAATTTCCATTACATTTAAGGTAACAAATGCAGATCAGGTATTCATTTATGAATATTATATTTCATTTCCACATAAGTATGGCTGTCAAATATATTAAGTATTGTTTGTATGTTCACTTCCTTTTATCTTGTGTGGATCTTGTAAAACTATGACAGCAAAACATAAAGCACATTTTTATTTAAATTTACTTTCAAATTGTAGCAGGCAGAACATTAGATTAAATATTTATAAGTGTTCAATACATTTATCAGGAAATTCAATCTAATTTATATTAAATTTAATCTTAAAGTATCTAAATCCTGTTTAACTCTCAGTCCAAATCCCCAACATTTTTAATTCTGATGCTGACGATGTAAAGATGTTTTTGTGGGTCAAGTATATTCAACATTTTTCCGTTAAAGAACCATTCCTTCTTTTCAAACCCCGTCTTTACATTTTTTTTCCTCTAAATAATTGATTCATCATACATGTGCTATTGGTGTATAAAGCCTCTGGCTACAGCTAATTCAGGATGTGGTGAGGCACAGCTCTAATGTTTATGTATGATTCCTCAGACTAATAGGACCGCGGTGCCATATGTAGGTAGCGCCGAACATTCGCTGATAAAGCTTTGCACTGTTTCTCAAATAATTCACCTCAAAGTCTCTTAAGTCAAGCATTGTGATGATTTGTCATAAATAGGATCTATATAATACCTAATATAAATGGATGTTTTCTGTGTGTTATAACGTTTAAATGATGCACATGGATTGGATTTAATGTCATTTTCCAAACATTAAAAAAATCTAATTTGTGAGTCAAAATAACGATTAAGATCATTTTTTAGAAAAATCAACAGAATTAAAGAACTGATTAGCTACTTTGTGAGTGCTTGAGTTAGCCTCACTGACATAACTAGGCATTGGAACCAAAACGCCCCCTAGTGGATGGCTCCAGAATGAAGACTGGGTCACATCGCCTCTATTAAAACAAAGTGGACAACATGTTCTCACTGAGTTCGTCATTATGTATTTGATGCACAATAAAGACCACAGCTGCTTTGGGGGTGGTTGAGGACTCAGACTCCGTCTCCAGAAATACAACATGGCGGTCTATAAATAAGATATTCTGGCTTCTTTTTTTCACAACAGAAGAAAGCAGAGACGATTTTTGTAGTTATTAAGTCATGGGTTTGGCTTTGGGTGAGAACACGATGACATTTTAATAAAAAGCAAAGCAGATTTTGTGTTTCTTGTGTTAAAAACATTTGCGCACTTATATTTTTTGTATATTTGTTTATTGTTTATTCATTTATTGTGGAGGACAGATAATCGCAGACGTAATCAAATTAGAAATCAGTCATTAGGGACAACAAAAGCTTAACATTCTGGTTTGTGATTAAACTGATGAAAAAATTAATTAGCGACTAAGTTGCAACAACAGTTGTTTCAGCCTACACGAAGGTGTTGTAAATAACCAACTTAGTGTTACTTCAAACTAAATTTAAGATTTTGCATCTCCGACCACTTTTAAAAACGTGATTTTAACATCAAAGTTTACTCTTATATTCACACTTATGTGTTTAGGAGGCCAAAAAGTGAGGTAGAACACTTTCAGGGCTGCACAACAAAGATCACTTCAGTGGATCAATCAGAACAGAAACATCCACTCTTCTCTGATTGGTGTCTGAAAAATAATGGCCTAAAAAATTTTCATAAATTGTAGCAAAAAGTGGGAAGTTTTTGTCCGTTTTAACTACAAACACAGTAAAAATCATGCTTTAAGAGAATGCATGCACACTTAGGACAAACTTTTGTGGAAATCCTTTTTTTTTTTTTTCCATTTGCTGAAAATGCCATTCAGGTTTGGGTGTGATTGTATTATTCATGTGGTCTTTTTCTTACAGGGCCAGAGTTAATAAGACTATAAACATGCCATCCTACACAGTGAGATACAGTATATTAAGAGTATAATACTATATGAATATATTTCTGCTATTTAGAACAGCATTAAATATCATTTTGTACGACGTAACCTCAGCAGTGACGCAAATCTCTTGCTGCATAGAAAGCCGTAGACTAATCGATCGACTAAATAAATACTAATGGCAACAAGTTGTTCAGAAGTGTTACCAAGTTGTGAATTTGTAGATATTGTGAAATCAATTCCAATAGTTTGTGTGAATATTGATATATCATGTTGTTTATTTTTACACCAGATAAATGCCGCAGAGCTCTGTAACACTACGTGTTACGGGATTATAATTCAAGAACCGTAGAAGTCATTTTAAATTGAGCTACTTACAGGATCAGTGAGTCGTGTGAACTTTTCAAACCTAACTGTGAATTAGCAGCTGTCTGCAAAAGCTGAGTTGTCCTCACTGTGTTCTCCTTCCAGCGATTCCACTGCATGTCCCTACGCATTGAGAGATCAAAGACTTCCTCCACAAAGACAGCTCTGGGAACTTTGTGGACTTGGTGTTTTGACTGGGAAGTTGCTCTCTGTATGCTCAGTGACTGGACTCTGTATGTTGCACTCTCTCGTTCATGTGCTTACTGTATAAGATGTAGCAAATGGAGTTGGAGATTAAAAGGATGATGTATTTTGTCTTGGAGTTGCACGGCTCTTCTTGGTTCACGTTCACACCTCGAAGACGTGCACATTTTGTGTGTCATTGTTGGTGCTCTTAACACAAAGAGGGAATGGCAAAGACAACAATGTGAAGACGTCCTAAAAGGATCACACACTGCTTGTTTAAATCAAAACAAACTTGAACTTTCAATTGGTCAAGACTCTGTGATGTTTATCTGCCTTTTTTGTTGTTGGAAATAAAGAAGTTGCAGGGAAAGCAAGCTTGGGGGGGCCCCAATTTCAGATCAACTAACTTGAGGTTTGGTGGTTTTATCATAGTTTGCAGGAAGCGCGAATATTTTACCTGTTGTGGTAAATCAATGAATGACCTCAGTTCCAAGAACTGGAGATTTATTCTGTTCAGACGGGGAAATAAATAAGTGGTCACAATCAAATCAATTACAAAATAATCCCAGTCTTAAAATGTTCATAGCAGCTTTTGCTGATGCAATTTGCTATAAAAGAGTGTGTTCTGCCAGGGCACCAAACTGGCTAGGACCGCCCCTGCACACAACCATTTGAGATTCATGATGGTGTTCAAAATGTTTATAAAATTAGATTCGTGTAAATCTTCATGACATTTCTGAGATGTTTTAAAATAACAAACATTTTTTCTAATTGCCCCACTCTCCAGCTAGTACGATGTGTCTGATGAGAAGTAATGTCTGTGGCACAGGAGTTAGGTGCTCGCCCCGTAATCGGAAGGTTGCAGGTTCTAGCTCTGCTCGGTCTGTCACTGTCGTTGTGTCCTTGGGCAAGACACTTAACCCAGCTTGCCAGCTGGTGGTGGTCGGAGGGACTGGTGGTGCCAGTGTACGGCAGACTCGCCTGTCAGTGAGCCCCAGGGCAGCTGTAGCTTCAACATAGCTCATCACCACCAGCGTGCGAATGTGTGTGTGAGAATGGATGAATGACTGATTGTGTTGTAAAGCACCTTGGGGGGGTCCAAGGACTCTAGAAGGTGCTATATCAAACACAGGCCATTTACCGTTTCTTCCACACAAATGTTGTTCAAAGAGTAATCTCCAACTGGTAAGATAGCTATTGACTATAACATTTCTACAGAAAAGCAATCCGAAGTGTTCAGCATAAGCATAAATCTCCGTTAAAAACGACTGCACATGTTTTATTTTTATTCTCACATTTGTGAAAGAGTTTAATCAAAACCCTTAAAAAGCTAAAGTCTTCACACTTGCAGAAAACAAATGTTGGTTATAACTAAACACGCTAACTCAACACAGAGTCACAATTATGGATTCATATCAAAACTGAATACAGGGAGATTATGTGTGGGTGTATTGGGAACACAGCCGAACCAAGCTTCTTCAAACAGAACAAGGAATGAGCAATCTAAAAGCAAAAACAGATTTTTACCCCAACAAAGCAGCTGGTTGAAATGTTTTCTCTACTTACGGATGTAGAAACTCAGACTGAACTGTATGCATTGGCACATTTTTGTGCTACAAATGACCACATGAGTCAGAAGTGGCATTAATTATAAAAGAGTTGCAATTGCATTATTTTTCTGTTTAAAATAAATAATTCCCCATATGCTGGAGGTTTTCCTCTCCACTGTCGCTACATGCTTGCTTAGTATGGCGATTACTGTAAAGTCACTGACTCAATAAATCTGTGACTCGATGCAATCTGCTGGGTTTCCTTCTGTAGGAAACATTTAACTAACTGGAAAAAGGAACTGAACTAAAGGCACTGCAAAGTTTGAATGTTTACGTTATAAAGTGCCTTGAGATTAGGGCTGCAACAAACGATTATTTGGATAATCGATTAATCGGATGGGGTCTCGACACGATTAATCGATTAATCGGATTACATGGGGAAATTTTTAAAAACTGCTAGGGAAACGTTATTTCTCTCCTTCCTTCACTTTATTTAACACAACATTATTAGAAAACAGTTCAATAGCAGAAAAACAACATGCCATCACCTAAATTGTCTTATAAGGTGTATAGACAGAGACCCTAAGCTACATCTATCTGTGACCTAAAATGCTTGGTCCAAGTTAAACAGCTTAAGGGCAATTCTCATCTGTTTTGTTTGATCTCATCTGTTGACATTTATTTTAAATGTAATTAAACATAGGCCGTGAATTAATCAAAATTGATCACTATTTCCAAAAATGACTGAAAAAATACCAAATAAAACAAAAGTATGAATGCCATCCTCCTTGTGATGATGCCCTGGGCAACTGCCATAAAGTCACATCAAGAAATGCTGCTGATCATTCCAATGATCCCAAATAGACTCACATTAGGCCACATGAAAGCAACTGAACCCAAAAATATATTAACCAGTATATAACTGCACTCTCACACAACATGCCTGCAGCAACAGTTAGGACTCCTCCCTCCCTTTTAAAAGCGTTTTTGCTTCTGAGGACATTGTGGTTGTAAAACCACATGCTAGTCTGGCCCCGGTGTGATCAACCAGTTTCTGCGGGAATGTGACGGCGGAACCAGGGCCAGATTAACACTTTGTTGTACCCTGGGCAACAATATTCAAGGGCTCCATCATCACGACCCAAGGATCACCATAATGTGGTCACATACAGAATATTTTACTGTAATATGCAGTAAATATACTCAATACTTGAATGCCTGAAAACACGTAACCCGCCCAGAGTAACCTTTGACCCACCTTGTGTGGACTGACCAATGAGGAAAGGGTCTTAACTTGAGGCCCTCTCTTCTTGCCTACGACTGACTCTCAACTGACGTTCAGTCGTAGGCAGCGAAGCGTCTCTGTGCAGAGCAAAAGCCCGGGTGGACAGTTTGTTTAATGTAGGGTGACCATATTTCCATTTCCAAACAAGAGGACAGGGATCTGTGCCTATGACGTCACACTATGGCAACGCCACACAAACCATGTTGGGACCCATTTTTTGTAAGAACTAAATTAATATCAGATTCTGCCAATTAAAGGGCTCTAAAACAATTCATATGTAAATATTTTGCATATTTAATGCAAAATCTAATTTTTCTGCTTTAGTGCTGCAACAAGGTTTTATTAATAATAAATTATAATACCTTTTGTTTTACTACAGCATCGGTAAGCTTCCTGTGCACAGATTATTAAGGATGCTTGTTTCAGCTGTGAGATTAGACGATAGGATCAATGAAAAAATAAGTTGTCACACACTCCATGGAAACTTTCAGAGAATCCACAAATAGTGGCTTTCAAATGGTTTTGTTACTTTTTGCAAGTTTATAAAAGAAGCTGATGAGACAGCATGTCTGATAATTTAGTTTTTCATCTGATAATGTTAGAACATGTCAGTAATGTCTGAGGGGCTTTTACAAACACTGTATAACTAATACTCCTGGAGAGGGTAGGAATTACACAGAGGCTTCTGGGGAGCCCAGTTATTGGGGTGGGGGTGGGGGGGGGGGGCATTTTGCCTTGGCCCCCAAAATGTCTTGAAACGGCCCTGGGTGTGTGACTGAGTTTTGAAGGTGATCTGAATTGTATCAGATGTATAAATATTACATGTGTATAACTTGTTGTTTTTTACTGGTAAAAACGTGTAGTGGAGATAAATCTACCTACATTTTACTTTTCAACACTTTGTTTTGTTTTCTTGTTTTTATTGAACTATTTTCCTGTCCTGTCTGTCTCTCATCTTCCTGCATCTCCTCTTAATTCTCCAGAAAAACTGCTGCCTGGATTCTTACCTTTTCACCTCATCAGTTACTTTTGAGCAGATCAAAGGGATCTCCTGACCATAAAGCGGAGAGCGCGTTTTCGATGCTGCGTGAGGTGAAATCACCGCAGCACAGGTGATGAGCTCCGCAGTAGCGCGCTTCAGGCACAAATAAGACAGAAAATAGAGAACATGTGCGGACATGAACAATCGTGTGCTAATTATAGTTTTTTGGTTGCGCCACTTTGAGAATGGACCGTGCGCTGGAAGCAGCTGCCTGGATCGCTGTGCAACAATGCGGAACCGGTTCGCAGCAGCGCAAGTCTGCCGGCTCTCCCTCGCGCTGATCTGCCGCTACCGGCTCTCCCTCACGCTGATCTGCGGCTCTCCCTTGCGCTGATCTGCGGCTCTCCCTTGCGCTGATCTGCGGCTCTCCCTCCCGCTGATCTGCGGCTCTCCCTCGCGCTGATCTGCGGCTCTCCCTCGCGCTGATCTGCGGCTCTCCCTCGAGCTGATCTGCGGCTCTCCCTCGCGCTGATCTGCCGGCTCTCCCTCGCGCTGATCTGACTTGCTCTGGTCTGCGCGCAACGGCGGGCGGGAAGGGGGGGGGGGGGCGCTTTTGGAAGAGTTGTGCGACACAACGAATCGATGACGCAATTCGTTGCCAACGCTTTTAGTAATCGATTTTCATCGAATTTATCGATTCGTTGTTGCAGCCCTACTTGAGATGACTGGCTTTTAATTGGCACTGTATAAATAAACTGAATATAATTCAATTGAATGACTTCTTGATGTTTTAAGGGAACAGAAAAGGTTTGAAAGCTTCTGCCTCCGATAAAACCCATACCAGGTCAGGTGACAAAACGTAACTTCAGATCCAAACTCTTCATCCCTGGAAGACCTCCAGATCAGTCACCACTCTTCTTCTGCCTGTTCTGTCTCCCCTTGGGAGTTTTAAGGAAAATCCAGTATACAATAATATCTATTATAACATTTCAACATAGTAATAAGAAGTTTTTGCTCCTCAGAGCAACCAGCACCAACAACCAAAGTCTGCTGATGCTACATTTCTCTGTAAATGTTATTTTCTATTCTTTTCAAGTCAAGCTTATTTCATATTGAAAGAACGCCTTTATAATAAATTACATTTGCAGTCAGACTATTGTTGTGTTCTAGTGTTTTGGTTGCAGATAATTTGTGAACTCCACAAAATGCTTCAAAAACTTGAACCCTTGCAGTCGTTTTCAAGCAATAAATGCACTTCCTGTGCACAAATACCCCTTGGAGTCCTGCCATGTTCCAGCCTGCTTTAAGCTGT